TTTGATTTTAAATTTTACAGTTGTGCGTTCTTGTACAAATATGGTGATAAACGAATTTTTACTGGTAAATTTTCTGTCAAAGTGGCATGAACTATATTGTTCAATAATTACAATAATGTGAACTTATTATCCAAAAGTCGCACTTGGATCAGTTATTTTAATTTTGATAAACGTGCAATCAATTTACAAATTCATGAATTATTCATACAAAAACAAATACAAAGGTTAATGATTTAATTGGCAAGAAATCCAAAATCGCAAACAATTCAAATAATATTCAAAAAAACCCCGAACCTGTTATGAATGAATATAAAATAGGATAAAGGAGGAAAAGACAAGGAAACAGATCTAAATATTCAAAAATTTTTTTTAAATTCTTCATCAGAGATCAGAATTTCTATCTTCATGTCTACTGAAGCTTTAATAAAGTGAAACGTTTTAGATTGAGATTCATTTCCTTCTTGTTCTTTACCCTATCATTTTCTCAGATTCCTATCAATATTTGATACACACACGTACATCAATTTATTAATCAAGAATGAAATTTAAATTTGTATCTCTATCAACTGAATAAATTAAAATGGTAATTACTAAGTTTAAATTCCTTTAGGATTTTCTTTATTGCAGGAAAAAATATTTCATCACAAGAAACAATTATTGACCAAAAGGTATTGCGATTATTATAAGCAATTGTACTTTTATTGGACAGAATACGTGAGCAACAAGAATGCTTAAAAGGAAAATAAGATAGACGAGGAAATTGATATTTACAATCAGAAAGAGAAAGATGAAATTTCTGAGACACATGATTAAAACGAAAAGCCTAGGGAATTTAACACACCCAAGACATATTGAAAATGAGGGAAACAGAGAAAAATATCAAACGACTTAACAGGTTTGAAGGAACAGAAGAACATGAAAGATGGTAAAGAGATAAATGTTCCTAATGGCAACAAAGGACAGGAAGTTGTGAAAGGCCATGATCACCGACATCCTGAAAGGATATGGAAACAACTGACATACATAATTAACCTTTATTACACTGCAGGCAACAATTGTCACCACAAAATTCTCTCCCTTTGCTGCACTAGGTGCATTCTGTCGCCTTGAGACAGTTGCTATAAATAAACTTGTCAACTGTTATTTCCAGTATTTTAAGCTGGAAATCGTCTACTACTGCTTTGGAACAAGGCTAAACTTCCATTTTCCAATGTCATTTTGAATTCTTCTCGATTTTACACAAGGTGTAAGATCGATTAAACCTACGTTAATTTTTTCACGATTTTTTTGTAAACAAATGGGTGCATCAATATCAAATGAAGCTTTTATTCGGGAGGTTTTTTTTGGTGGTTTTTTTTTTTTAAATTTATTATTTTTATTTTTTATTTTGCATAAAAATTTTTGTATTCAACAGAAAAACATTATATCATTCATTCTTTTATTAGTATACATAAAATAAAATCTATATGCACAACACAAAGAAAGTTATAACAATTTTAAAACAATAGGTGTTCATGTTGCACCCTCAAAAAAAAAAAAAGCAGTGGCAGGGGGGACAACTCTAGAAAGAAATTAGTGTAGTAAAGGTCTCAAACTGATTAAAATGGGATTAAAAATGAAGAAAAAAATCGTTTGAGAGAATGAAAAGTAAAGAAAGGATGAAGAAGGTTGGTAAAACTTGAAAATTGATGCTGATCAGTTCTGGGCCTAACCAAGATGGGATAAAAAAGGAAAAATATAAAATTCTGCCTCATTTTGGGAAGATAATTAGATCATTCTGTGAAAATTTCATTTCAAGATAAAAACAAATGCAATAAAAATGATTTTTTGGTTAGGTGGGTTGTTTTTACAACATGTCAATCCTTACTGGGTTATTTAATGTCAAATTTTGAATGGTGCACCCAGTGAGGACCAAAGTGACTTCTCAATATGAATAGGCAATGACCCATATGGACACCTTTGGAAATAATTTCAAACACGTTGGAAAATGAAGTTTATTATCAAAGATCATCACCAAAAGATATACTGCTTGGCATTCACACCAGAAGCACCAATACGAACATTTCAGAGTATTTGGATGTTAATCTGAGGACAGGGCAGAGGATTCAGTAAGAGTCAGAGGAGTCTAATGGCGATTACAAATGGTGGTCATTCTGATAAGAAAAGAACGCCTGAATTTGTTGGTGAGGGCCTCAGACTCAAAATGGAGGCCTACATCAAGTGCCTTGAGGAGGGAATACTACCCTGGGTCAAGAGGGTGTTGTTGGAAGACCCTATGTCCAGCAACATGACTGTAGCATGCCACACAAGTAGAAGAACCCAGTCATGGATGTCACACAATGTCAGTGTGTCACATTTTTTCAACTTTACTCCTTGAGGCTGTAGCCCAACATGTCATACCATTTTGGAATCAGGCCAGATCCGAATCTACAAGCCTGAAATTTGGGATTTCCAAGTTCTCATTAATTTGATTGTTTTCAGTAATTTTTTTTTTTTACATGATTTTTTGCAACAATTTTTTTTTTTGTACAATAACAATTTTTATAGCTTGGAAATAAATTTAGGAATAATTGAAATTAATTGCAAAATCCAGCGAAAGTCATCCATGAAACAAAAATAATTGTTTGTACGAAAAGTAAGGACCTACATACATCAAATTGTCTTTAAATAAAGTGGCAGCAGAAGAATTATCATTTAACTTTTAAAAGGTAAGCTTAAATATTAATTCAATACTTAAATGCAGTGATTAATTTTGAGTTCTTCTGTAGTTTATTGATGCCTATCTCATCAACTCCTCTCTATCTACTGTGATGAAGGCTCAATCAAGAGCCCTTCGCAGGAGCTAGCTTAAATGTTGCCCAATAGCTTCAGATCACACCCATTCAGTTCAGGTTGTCAGAGTTTTGACCAGTAAGGTAGGATTTGCTATTTTGAGGCATTTTACATATTTTCTAACATTACCTCCCGCTTTTATTCTTCAAAATATATAAGAATATATATTTTAAATTATTATCTTGCATGTCAAGTCTACATAGAAGCTAATGGTATTTAAATCAGCAATAAGAGGTTTGGCAACCCTGCTAGTTAAAAGTGATTCAATCCTGGAGCTGTATTTAAGGTCTGACAATTTCTTCTTTATCAGTGTTTTGTATCAGGTGAATCACTTCTCAGCCTTTCAGCCGAGATCAAAGAATGGTATCCAGTTTATTTTTTGTAAATGACAGAGGTCGCAGGGACTGAGTTAACTTTTGTCATACACATGCATGGGCCTCCCATGTTAAAAAAAGACCTTGTACCACATCCTGCCTTAGTGGGAAAGGCCAGATAAATAGATTTTTGTATCAGGTTCCTGGTCATTTTGAACAATAAACACATTGATTGAGGAATTCTTGCAAAAATCAATTAATTATTGGAATTTAATGAATTTTTAAAAGGTTGTTTCATTTTTTTTTTTTTTTAAATTCTAATTATAATAATTTATGTGTCCATTTGTTGCATGCTTGGTGGATTTTTTGTTTCAGGATCGCCTGATAGTACTGTTTCGGTAGGGTCTCTTGGGCGAACAAGTATGATATTGCAAGACCTGAAACTTGTCACGACCCAAGTCATTTTGTTTGTTTTGTTTTACGACATATCAACCTCAATGGGTCATTTAATGCCAACTACATATTTTTTTTTCCTGGTAATATTTTTGCTTTGTCAAAAATCTATTTCTGTTAATATTTCTTCCTCGAAAATGTATAGCTGGTAATATTATTTTTTCAAAAACGTATTGCTGGCAAGATTATTTTTTTCAAAAACATTATCAGAGGCCTTGCTGTTGGACATAGTTTATCGTCATACCCAGGATGCAGATGTAGTTTATCGTCATACACAGGATGCCCCCAAGTCATAACATCACTGACGAGGCAATCCTGCGCAATTGCTGGAGTGTTTTCATAACAAATATATAAATCTTTTAAAATCCTGCATTACTTTCATCCAGTTAGGTTATATTTACTAATAAAAAATTTAACAGCTGAATACAAATCATACAAATTAAAATAACTTATTTTTAAAAAAATCTTGATTTAAAAAAAATTTTTTTTTTTTTTTTACTTTTTTATGCATATAAAATATTATGCAACATGCCCATTTTTGAAAGTATGGTCAACCATACATGACATTATCAGAAAACTATAGTAAATTTAATGACAACATTCCTAAAATTAGATTACAGAGAATATTTTCCAATATTTTTAAGATTACTGAAAAATTATGTAAAAAAGAAGTTGCTTGCCAGTCATTTTCTTAAATTATGTTTTAACAGATAAAATCTCCATAGAACAACAATAAAGGTGTCAAAATATTTATCAGCATTTCTCAACACTCATCAATCACGTAAACATGGCTACTGTTGGTTAAAACACAACTACTGTTTGTTTTAAAAATGCATTTCTATCTTATTTTAAACTTAAAGTAAATAATATTATTTTCAAATCAGATTAATTATATTTTAAATCAGTTAATATTCCTCAAATAAAGTTTCATAAAAAACTTTTGTTTTTGGAACATTTTTTTAAAGAGAATTATAATGCCATGAAAGATGATCAAAATGGCACTAACCAGCTATTTTATGACAAAAAGAAAAACCCTAAGCTTCAAAAAAGATTTTTCACTTTTTAGAATTCATTTTAAACCTTCAGTGTAGAGGTTTTGTGGAGGTCCCTAATTTAAATGCAATGTCAATTGTTATCTAATATCTTTTTGATTGCTCATCTTTTATTGTTGTTCTTTTTCTTTAACACTTAGTAAACTCCTGTTTTAGTGGCTTTATTGACTTGCTTGGACGAAATGATTAAAAAAAAAAAAAAATATCCTCATTTTGAGGTTTGTTAGTTGCGATTTAAAAACTGCTTCAGCAAAACCCGAAACATCAAAAAATAGGTTCATAAACACTTAATACCAGAATTGAAGTAAGAGAAGAAAAATGGACGGAAAGAAAGACCAAGGGAGGTAATTTATAAAAACAAATTAAACAGACTTACTGCTCCTGATTTCAGACGTTCCAGCAATTGTTTTTCAATGGCATTGTCCAACTGCGCGGCCACTAAAGCCTTTTCCTGTGGGACAATAATTAAAAATTAATTAGTTACAACCACAAACAAGTAAATGTTTCCAAAAGGAAAAATAAGAGAATTACATAGAAATGCGCCAAAAAAAGGTTTAAAAACGAAAAAATATTACATACGTATTTGGATGAACAATTGTCAATTAAATGTTTAACTTTCATTGAATAGTAATCAGAAAGAGGCTAATGAAATTTCTAGGACATGAATTTGTGTAAATGGACGTCAGAACAGGGATTAGGATGAATGGCAAAAAGAAACCTTACCAAAAGGCTACGTTGTGGAAAGCCATGACTATGTCCTAAAGTGACAAGGCACAGAGAAGATAAGTGAATTTCTTAGATGAAGCCATGACAATTATTATTCATTTTTGACTAGTATTTCATCTTATTTCTCTTGCTTTTTTACCAAATAGTAAACTAGTATTTCTTTCAACTTTAATTTAATCTTTAATTAATCTTCTTTATCACAATATTTACAATGTTTTATATTCAACCACCTTTAGTACTACAAATTGAAAATACATCAACAAGGTTCAGCCAGAACAATAACGATGATTTTTTTAAATGAGCATAGAAACTTTCACCTATGACAATAGTTTATAAATTATTTTAATAGTAATTTATTTATAATAAATACTGCATTGTAGTTGTTTCACATATTTTTGTAAGCTAAGAAATATAAAATTATTTTTAGACTAAATTAATATTTCCTTAAGAAATAATTTATTGTTATAGCTGACAAATTCAATTCTATCTCCATTTAAAAAAATATTCTTATTGTTTTTGTGTCTTTTAGAATGTTGTAAATAAATATAAACAAGATTTAACATGTTTGTTGTCATTTCTCAATAATGTAAGAATTCAATTTCATGTTTGGGTTTCATTAGACTTGGCCAAATCTTATTTTCATTATAACAAAAGCAATATAATCTATAAGAATATCAGTATTTACTAAGATTAGTTAAGTATGGTACAAGGCCACAAAATTGGAGTACAAAGTAAGGGTTGAAGTTACTTAATAGTGATAGTGTACACATTTTTTTTTTAAATGTAATGACAGAGGGTGGGGGGAATAATTAAATGGTAGTTGTAATGAAACAGTTAGCAGTTTTCCTAGGATACATTCTGCATCTACTGATCAAACATTTTTGTTGTCATTTCTTGATGATAAATAAAAAAAAATGTACAAATCCAACTTCAGATGTTTGGGGGTTTGTTAAAATTCTAAAAATATTTTTTGAAAACAATAAAAATTATTGGTGGGGGGGAATGACAATAAAAGTGTCTTTTTTGATACATTGATGTTTTTTTTGTGGTGGGGAGGGGAGGTAAAAATCGACCAAATTTTATCCCTATTCAAACGAAAACAAAATAATCTACAATAAATATTAGAAAATATTAAAAAATAATCTACAATAAATATTAGTATTTACTAACCTTAGTATGGTACAAGGCCACGAAATGGGGGCACCTAGTAAGGACTGAACTTACTTAATAGTGATAGTGCACAAATTTTGTTAAATGTAAAAAAGAATAAAGAATAAAAAAAAATTAAAAAAATGATAAGGAGAGAGAGAGAGAGAGAAAAGTAAACACGTTTGTTGTTGTCATCACAACATTTCGGCCATTGTGCACTCCAGCCTTCATCAGGAACATAGTACTCAATAATATTTTAACTACTTAAGACCATGTTATTTAAAAAAAAAAGAAATTAGCATCCAACCAAGAAATGTTCAATGCAAGATGCCTCAGGACAGCCAATAAGAATCAGGTTTTTTAAGACAAGATAAAATTGTTCACTAAAATACTGATCAGCCAATAAATCAAGAACTTACTTCTCGGCGTTTTTCTCTTCGTTCAATCTTCCTTTGGAGTGGAACCAGTTTCCGCCTGAAATATTAATAAGTCCTTCGTAAATTTCTAGAATAAAAACATTAGTAATACATTTACATTAGACATATAATAGCCCTATTCTATCAGTAATGTTTGCATTCATTCCTGACCACTGACAATCCCTTTCTTCCTCATTTGCAATGCATTCCTAGAGTAAAAATATATAAAAATGGAGAGGACGAATGGGGCAACACATGAAGGTCATGATACAAAAGGTCATACTTGAAATTACAATGTTGCAGTTTCAGAACTAAATTCTGCAAATCTCATTCCATATTGTACTGCAGAAGAAAGTTATGAAATCAAGTGTGTGGGTTAATTTTTGACTAGTATTTCTATCATCTTAATTCTCTTGCTTTTCCACCAAATATTAATAGTTTTAAATTCTCTGAACTTCTTAGATGAAGTATACTTATATTGTCAATTAATATTTCTCTAAATTGTAAATGTTGACAGGAATTTTCCTTTAAATGTTGTGAAATAGAACTTGAATCTGACGTATGTAATAATATGTCTCCTAGATAATGTTGTTGTCATGAAACCAACATATATATTTACTTTCTTGTCAGAGATACAATCTCCCAAAGGACATTTAAATTGATATGCTATGTTAATTTTTTATAAAACATTAGTTGACTGAGAAGAGTTATTGCAGATGATTAAGTTAGTTGCATTAAATTTAGTATATTATATAATTAGTATTTTTTTTACTCCATGAAAATAAAAAAAATTCTTGACACCCTCTATATAAGAAACATACAGCTAACACTAAATAAAGTTATGAGTATAGCAATAATCTTTTAAAATGTCTATAAGAGCAATGTTAAAACACTTAAATTGTAATTTTTTAAAAATTACAATTATAAAAAGTTACCTCCCTTAGATAAAACATAAAAGCTTTAACAGTTAATTTTTTAAATCAATTATAAGGGAGCACATTCATACGTGTTTATAATTATAAGAGTGCGTTTCATGCACATTTACAAAAAAATTAAAAAAATTAAAATAAAAATAAAAAAATAATTTAAAAAAAAAAAAAATAATAATTTAAAAAAAAAAAAAAATTAAAATAAAATAAAAAAATTTAAAATAAATCACAACAATCAATTATATTCATTTTTTGTCTTAGAAATTTATCCCTGAAGATGATCTTGGATTAGATTGAAAGTACTTGGAGAAAAATAAAAATAACTACAGTGCTTTCCTTAACATTATTGATCGATGAATTTGAGGGAATTGAAATAAATATAGACATAGTATATCCAGATTATTCAAGCAAACATGTTTAAATATGTAAGTATATACATCCACATTTACGTGAATATAGAAAGGTACATACAAATATTTTATTACAATTTCCATCTACATACAAATATGGATACAACTACATACATATAAAAATGCAAATACATGCAAACATATAAATGTGCACCCATACACATCTATATATATATATATATATAAGACATTTTATACATTCTTTTTATAGATACAAATATTTAAGTAAATGCTCTGTTTATAATAAACAGTATTAAACAACATTTACCGGCCTGAATGTCCGAGAAATTTTTATAGAAAATATTCGTCTTCCGACAGGATTCAAACCTGTATCCTATCGTCATATAGCCTGATGTGCCTTTTAATCAATTTGGCCACAGAGGATCATTCGGTTAGCAAGGTTCAATTTACTGCTTTTAAACTTCAACCATCCATGAATCTCTTACGTACATTCATATCTGCTCTTGGTGTATCAAATGTAAACAAATGACGTCAGACATTATGAAATGGACAAAGTCCGACAATTTTATGTTTATACAATAAAGACATTTTATGTTTATATATTATTTTTATAGATACAAATATTTAAGTAAATGCTCTGTTTATAATATATATATATATATATACATACACACCCTCTCTCCCACCTCACTTCGTTAACTTTACGTATACTTGATGATGTCCGTGAAAAACGTGTGAATTTCTTTTCATTTTAGCTTTTGAAAGTAAAGTCTGATGATCCAGAACCCTGTTAAAGAGGTTATGGTGAAATAGCTTATTACATGGAATCTTAATGTGGTCTGTCTTTTATTCATATATATATATATATATATATATATATATATATATATATATATAGATAGATAGATAGATAGATAGATAGATAGATACATACACACAAGCACCTAAACATATATACATATATCTATACACATGCATATATATGTAAATCCCATAAACCATAACTAATTTATACACATATTACATAATTGCGCACACACACAGATATATGAATCATGGAATTACATATACATCATACAGTGATATATACTACAAAAACAATATTGTCTACTTACTTTCCACGGAGTGTAATTTTCCTAATTCTGGCCAGGTACTGTCGGATTTTTATTAACCTTTCTCGACATTTTTGTCTTATAAACCTGAAATAGAAATAAAATTTGATAAATATGCTTATGTTAAGTACTGCCAATCATTCACTAAAAAATCAAAAAATTCCCCAACTTAATAAATACAATTTTTTATTATTAAATTATTTTTTTATACTTTCTAGAATGTTCACAATTGTGATTAAAAATCTTGTTTTTCTTGTACCAGCAGGGGACCAAACATTAGTATAAGAAATTCTAGAGTCTTTTTTTTACATTGAAAAAAAAAAAAAACACTGAATTGGTAATTCTTGCAAAAAGTCAAAGGTCATATTTTACTGAAACTTTCAGGAATTATTCACAAATGAATTAAATTGTTTTAGAAATGTTTCTAGAAAAATCTTGGTCATTTTTTTTTTTTTTTTTTTTTTTACATCTGTTAACAACTACTCCCCTACCCATTTAATTTTAAGAAATTTTGCCCCAATAAAATTTATATTAGCAGAATTCCTTGGAGAATTTAAATTATCAATTTTTTTTGTAAAACAGAACCCCCATTTACCAAAAGAAATGCTCTGAATCATAAAATAAAAATTCCATAAAACTAAGACATTATTTAATTAGAAAAGCTTTTAATTGCTTTTATAAATAAAATATATTAAGGACACTATTGTCTTAAGAAAAAAAATTTAATTACAATAATTTATAAAGTTTCAAATCATTTAAATTTCTGCATCACTTTGTCCTTGTTAGATGATATTGTTATTAAATAAAAAAATATATTTAATAACCAAAAGTGAAACATTCAGTACAAATCACTAAACCAATATTTTACAAAGAACTTTTAATTTTTTAATTTTTTTTGTATTCATACACAACATTATCAGAAAATAACCATAGGAAATTTAAAACCAGAGACAAAGTATCTAAAATTCAATAAAACATTAGATTACAGAGAATACTTAGCTAAATTTTTAAGATTGCTGTGTGCTTAAAAAGCATATAAAAAAGTCACTGACATTATATTCCTTAATTTTTTTTTACAGATATATCCAGTGTAGAAAAACATTAGATAAACTTCCATCTGTCATTCACCCTATCAACATGTCCACACCTTAAATAAACAGCTATCATTGTGTTTAAAATATACATTTCTGCAATATTTTTAACTTAAAGTAATATTTGTTTCAAATTAGATTAATTAAACTTTAAATCAGCTAATATTCCTCAAGTTCCAAAAAAGTATATTTTATTTTTGAAATATTTTTTAATAAAGAGAATTACACTGTGATGAAAGACAACTAAAAAAGAGCACTAATCAGCTATTTTAGCAAAAAAAAAAAAAAAAAAAAAAAAAATCCTTCTAGTCAATTTAAATTAAGTTTTTAAAAAAAACTTAAGTATTTTGCTTATTGGAAATATTAAAATTAATCTACTGAAATTAAAACTAAAAGGAAAGCTTCAAAAAAGTTTCTTTTTAAATTTAAGGTATTGCTTTTTCTGTGAAGGTAGCTCGATTAAATTCTCAAAAAAATTCATCTGAACCTATGTCAATTACTTCCCCTTGTTGATAGCAAAATATTAATAATTACCTCCCCTTGCTAATTGGTGATCTTACGCATATGTCAACAGGATGGTTCTTCTTTTGACACAGCCATTACGGTATTTTTTTTTTTTAAAGATATTTTTGGAATTTTAATAAAATAAAACCCAAACATATGAAACTGGATTTCCCCACGCCCTGGGGCTTTAAACCTATTTTATTGAATTTATGTGCTGAGTCGAGTCGGATTAACTCCTTTTGAGGCCCCAAAGATAAATTTTTTTGTTTACTTGTGATATATTTTAGCAACATTTACATAGCTTTAAGTAAACTAAAATCGCTATCTTGTTTGTCAATAATAAATATTCTTTAAGAAATATCCTTATTTTACTATTTATTGCAAAACCTAATTAGCACATATTTCAACACAACCATTGTAAAAAAAAAAAAAAAAAAAAAAAAAAACAGATTATTTTTTTTTTTTTAAATCAACATTATAACTCTAAAACAAAATAAATATGAGTTTGTCATACGGACACCATTTAAGTTTACAAAACTATTCAGAAAGTATAACATCTAGAAAATTAACCATCCTTAAATGACGTTTTTTTTAAATCTGTCCTGGGTAAGATGATAAACTACATCCAACAGCAAGGCCTCTGATCAGGAGGTTTTGAGGAGCGTGGAACCACCTCTCAATTGCTGGTGTTCCCAGGTAGGGGTTTTAAAGCACCTGTTAAGGTCCCATTATGGACAAATATATATATATATATATATATATATATATATATATATATATATATATATATATATATATCAATTTATTAGAATAGTGTTTTTTAAGCACAGCAAACATAGCATGGAAAAAAAGAGAAAAACAAAAAACTTACCGTGGCCAGTAAATTAATTTTTCATTAATTTGTTTGACTGCTTTATCAAAATTATCATCAAGTCTGATTTTCTCCCACAATCGACTTGGAAATGCAGCTCTTTCCACTTCCTTCATATACAAATAGCAGATTCCTAAAATGGAGGTGGAAAAAAAAAATATAGATGCATTAAAACTGAAGTTTGAAATTTTCATATCCACAAGATCTTTATCAATCATCTAAACGTTTCACCATCTAGATAGCTCACTGTCAAGCAACAGTTAAAAGACCCTCATCACTGAAGGCACAGTCAATCCTCATCAATAATTCTGGATTCATGCCAGATAGTATTTTCTAAACAAAAGTCGATTTGTACAAAAGAATAGACAGCAAGATAATATATTACTACAGTAATGATCCTCACTAGATTATGTTGCGATACTATAGACACTCACATAAAAAGGGAAGAGGCACCTTTATCCCCAATCTCAAGTGTTTATGTTTGATAGAGCATCAGATCTTTTTGGAGTTCGGTCTTCTAAGTGACATTTATTTTGACTTAAGGGGAGGAACACAGAAGTAAAGGAGTGGATGAGGGGTTTTTGGAGATCAAGTGGCAAAAACTGGTTGTTCGCTCAATGAATGCTGAATTCTTCCTTATAAGAAAAACATTGCCTGATATAAGTACTAATAAATGCAATTAGTTTATTTTGGTTTGGTTTGTTTTGTTTTACAGCATATCAACCTCAATCGGTTATTTAATGCCAACAAAATTTTTATTGCTGGTAATATTTTGTTTTGTCAAAAATGTATTTCTGGTAATATTTTTCCTTCAAAAATGTATTTCTGGTAATATTTTTCCTTCAAAAATGTATTGCTGGTAATATTTTTCCTTCAAATATGTATTGCTGGTAATATTTTTCCTTCAAATATGTATTGCTGGTAATATTTTTCCTTCAAATATGTATTGCTGGTAATATTTTTCCTTCAAATATGTATTGCTGGTAACAGTTTATTTTTCTTCAAAAATTTATTGCTGGTAATAATTTTTTTTTTTTTTTTTAAAGTATTTCTGGTATTAAAACCTACTTTTTACACTTTCATAGTGTTTTTACCCCAGTTTCAGAGTTAACTATTTGCCCATAGCTGGGGCCCTAATAAGTGCTGCCACCCCAGGTCAGGGTGGACCTGGGAACATCGGCAATTAAGAGGTGGTTCCATGCTCCTCAAAATCTCCTAATCAGAGGCCTTGAAGCTGGACGTAGTTTATCATTCTACTCAGGATGCAGATGTAGTTTATCATTCTACCCAGGACAGTAGTTTATTTTGGATTGAGGAAAAAAGCAAAAAGTCTGTGGAAATCCTACTATAAGTTGGAATAAGGAAGATTGCAAATCTAATTGAAATCAAAGTGAAACTTGAAAATAGCAAGTTACCTGAATTTGAATCATAAAAGATAATTTATTCAGTAATCTGAAAAATTGAATTGTCTCAAGTGTTTACAATTGATAGACCAGCAGTTGGTTCCTTTTTAAGTTCAGGCTTCTAAGTGGCATATATTTAACCAAAGGGTAATTCAGGAGTAAAGGGGTAGATGAGAGTTATTTTGGTGATCAAGTGGCAACAATTTGTTTGATAAATGAATGCTAAATTTTTTCTCATAAGGAACCGACTAATATTACTGTTACCAATACCATAATAAAGCAATTCCCAATGCATTCATATAGTACAAGCATTTCCAGAGCATTGCAATATTAGATTCTTTCCCAATGGTAATAGTGAGATTAACTGTCTCTATGCAGTAAACTTTCAGCCTTCATTGATTGAAGAGTTAAGATTACTGTTGGTTGAAATTTATAAAATCTTTTTCTTTTAACAGTTTTTCACGAAATTAAATTTCTCAAGTCCACTGGGTTTATATTAACAAATCTCAGTCACCTAGTATAAATTCGAATAAATAGACCAGCAGATAGAAGACCAAACTTCAAAAGGAACTAAGTGGCATCCACTTTGACTGAAGGGGAATGCAAAAGTAAAGGAGTGAATGAGGGGTTTTTGGAGATCAGGTGGCAAAAACTAGTCGTTCGCTCAATGAATACCAAATTCTTCCATATAAACATTGCCTGATACAAGTACTAATAAATGCAATTAGTTTATTTTGGATTGAGGAAAAAAGCAAAAAGTCTGTGGAAATCCTACTATAAGTTGGAATAAGCAAGATTGCAAATCTACCTGAAATCTAAGTGATACTTGAAAATAGCATGTTACCTGAATTTGAATCATAAAAGATAATTTATTCAGTAATCTGAGAAATTGAATTATCTCAAGGGTTACTGTTTGATAGACCAGCAGGAGTTCCTTTTGAAGTTCAGGCTTTTAAACAACATCTCATCAAAATGTTTTGGTCATTGTACCCTCCAGTCTTTATCAGGTCTAGTAACTTACAGCGAATACTGAATTAATCCCTTTATTTAATCTAGAGGGGAAGAGTATTCTAATGGGTTCAGTTCAAAATTCTAATGAGTAAGAACAAAAAAAAATTAATCAGTAGGACAGTAAATAGCAACTGACATTACATTTAACTTTTTGAACACCTCATCTGATCAATTGAAACTAAAACAAGACTAGAGGCTACTGCCATTGTAAGGCTGTGATAAAGACATTAAAAACAAGGGTGACTCATCTAAAAGAATCAATGTATAATACTAACAACACCTCATCTGATCAATTCAAACTAAAACAAGACTAGAGGCTACTGGCATTGTAAGGCTGTGATAAAGACATTAAAAACAAGGGTGACTCATCTAAAAGAATCAATGTATAATACTAACAACACCTCATCTGAGCAATTAAAACAAAAACAAGACTAGAGGCTACTGCCATTGTAAGGCTGTGATAAAGACATTAAAAACAAGGGTGACTCATCTAAAAGAATCAATGTATAATACTAACAATACCTCATCTGATCAATTGAAACAAAAACAAGACTAGAGGCTACTGCCATTGTAAGGCTGTAGATAAAGACATTAAAACAAGGGTGACTCATCTAAAAGAATCAATGTATAATACTAACAACACCTCATCTGATCAATTGAAACAAAAACAAGACTAGAGGCTACTGGCATTGTAAGGCTGTGATAAAGACATTAAAAAAAGACATTAAAAAAATACAATGTATAATACTAACAATACCTCATCTGATCAATTGAAAAAAAACAAACTAGAATGCCATTGAGGCTGTGATAAAGACATTAAAAACAAACCTCATCTAAAAGAATAATAATTGAAATCTAAAAACAAGACTAAAACAAGACTAGAGGCTACTGGCATTGTAGACATGTGATAAAGACATTAAAAACAAGGGTGACTCATCTAAAAGAATCAATGTATAATACTAACAACACCTCATCTGATCAATTAAAACAAAAAGATAAGACTAGAGGCTACTGCCATTGTAAGGCTGTGATAAAGACATTAAAAAACAAGGTGACTCATCTAAAAGAATCAATGTATAATACTAACAACACCTCATCTGATCAATTCAAACAAAAACAAGACTAGAGGCTACTGCCATTGTAAGGCTGTGATAAAGACATTAAAAACAAGGGTGACTCATCTAAAAGAATCAATGTATAATACTAACAACACCTCATCTGATCAATTCAAACAAAAAACAAGACTAGAGGCTACTGCCATTGTAAGGCTGTGATAAAGACATTAAAAACAAAGGTGACTCATCTAAAAGAATCAATGTATAATACTAACAAACCTCATCTGATCAATTCAAACAAAAATCAAGATTCAAATTCTTAAGGCTGTGATAAAAACATTAAACTAGAGGCTCATCTAAAAGAATCAATGTATAATACTAACAACACCTCATCTGATCAATTCAAATAAAAACAATTAAAAACTGCCATTGTAAGGTTGTGATAAAGACATTAAAACAAGGGTGACTCATCTAAAAGAATCAATGTATAATACTAACAACACCTCATCTGATCAATTCAAACAAAAACAAGACTAGAGGCTACTGCCATTGTAAGGCTGTGATAAAAACATTAAAAACAAGGGTGACTCATCTAAAAGAATCAATGTATAATACTAACAACACCTCATCTGATCAATTCAAACAAAAACAAGACTAGAGGCTACTGACATTGTAAGGCTGTGATAAAAACATTAAAAACAAGGGTGACTCATCTAAAAGAATCAATGTATAATACTAACAACACCTCATCTGATCAATTCAAACAAAAACAAGACTAGAGGCTACTGCCATTGTAAGGCTGTGATAAAGACATTAAAAAAACAAGGGTGACTCATCTAAAAGAATCAATGTATAATACTAACAACACCTCATCTGATCAATTCAAACAAAAAACAAGACTAGAGGCTACTGACATTGTAAGGCTGTGATAAAGACATTAAAACAAGGGTGACTCATCTAAAAGAATCAATGTATAATACTAACAATACCTCATCTGATCAATTCAAACAAAAACAAGACTAGAGGCTACTGCCATTGTAAGGCTGTGATAAAGACATTAAAAACAAGGGTGACTCATCTAAAAGAATCAATGTATAATACTAACAACACCTCATCTGAGCAATTAAAACATAAACAAGACTAGAGGCTACTGCCATTGTAAGGCTGTGATAAAGACATTAAAAACAAGGGTGACTCATCTAAAAGAATCAATGTATAATACTAACAACACCTCATCTGAGCAATTAAAACATAAACAAGACTAGAGGCTACTGCCATTGTAAGGCTGTGATAAAGACATTAAAAACAAGAGTGACTCATCTAAAAGAATCAATGTATAATACTAACAACACTTCATCTTAGAAATTTAAGCTAAACTGATAGTCTTCAGACCCCAATAAAAGATGGTTCTTACCTTTTTCCTCTCTGACTGTTGCATACTGACTGTTGGCCAGAGGACATGTATTCTTGTTGCAAAGACCTGTAAGATTGTACTCATGTCTGCATAAATTTTTAGTCTTCGTTCTGAAATGAATAAACATGTTTTTTTTTTCATTTAAAAAGAAAATATACATGTATAAAAAATAATCAATGTATACAAATGCCAAAAGAATCTTTAAAAAAACAAAAAAAAAAGAAGTGAAATGCAAATATGGATCTGTCTATCTCCCATATGAGGTATTATGATTATTTACATTATTCAGACTGTTATCCGAATCTTCATTGGCATATTCACATTTCAGCTGTTGTATGCTCCGGTTTGAAATTCCTATCACCTGAAGAAGGCTGGGGCATACAATGGCCAAAACATTGTGAATATGGTAATGAAGGCGAGGATAATAATCTGAATAATGTAAATCATGTGAATATGAATATTTAGAGGAGCTTATTTTCCATGAAAACAGTAAAACGGAAATCACGATTTTGAAATAGACATTTTTTTTCCTAACAGATTTGCCAACTGCCATTTTATTTGTTACTGTTTGCTTTTCATAAATTGCTCATCCGACAGACATCAAAGGATAAAGTCGGTAATGTTTTAAGCGCCCCCCATCCCCATTTACCTACTGTTTCCTTACAGTTTACAGTATTTAGAAAACAAGGTTAAAAAAAAAAAAAAAAAAAAAAATCGTTTTTTTTGTCTTATCCTTTCTTTTACTTATCACGCATCGTAATAGAGGTGAGGACAGTTTTGCATTTCAGAAAGCCAAATTTTATGAACTTTTTTTTTTTTTTTTTTAATTTTATTATTTAATAATTTTAATAAAGTGACCAAATGATAATGTAGCAATTTGTGACTTGTCTCTTGATGACTTTGTTGCGCTACTTTTCTCTAAGTTTTACCAATTTCACTTAATTCTTATTTTTAGGATTGTAGAATTCTTTGCAAGGATTGTCCCAGAAACTCATCAAGTTAGAATTAAGGACTGAATTATGAGGTATGAAAGCCTATCAATCTGGAACAACTTATTCAATTGGTGGATATTCCAGTTAATAAAATATTTCTTTTTTCCTTTTGTTTTCTTGTTTTAATATAGGTACCTCCATGAGAACTAGTAAAATAACAAATTTTCTGCACATTTTTTTTTTTTTTGTATTTGGAAAATCTTGCAAAAATAAAAATAATTGTTGGATGTTAATGAAGCTTTCAGAAACTATTCACAAATAATGGAAATAATTATAAATATGTTTTCTTTTTTTAAAGTCATGGAAAAAAATTTTTTTTTATATTTATTACACCCCCCTAACTAATTTCATGAAAATTCTAGAAATTCAGTCGCATTCAGTTTAGTGATTATATTAGTTAAAAGCACATGGCTTTGAGGAAAGCAAATCATGTATTTTTTTTTTAATTGGACACCCCCCCCCTCACCTGAAAACCAGCTCTGAATTGTAACATACAAAACTCAGTAAAACAAAGATATTATTTAATTTCAAATGCTTTTATTTGATTTTAGTTGTTTTTATGAATATGGACAATATTTTCTGAAAGCAAAAAATTTAATACAATTATTTATTTCTTTAATTATAATAGATTTTTACATTTAAGTTCTTAAAATATTATAAAATTAGTTAAAAGCTGCATTCAGTTTCGTAAATGTCCTCATGAGATGGATCTTTTTTTAACATGTTGTAAATTGTATCGTTTTGACTAATCAGAAGATCCACAGTAATTAAGAAATGTAATTTTGTGTTTATAATAGGGCTGTAATTATAAAGTACGGAAAACCAACCAGAATACAATTAAGTTGCATTATTTGAGTTAAGCATTGTTCTTTGCTGTTAAGGCCTTTATTTTTGCGAAACACATCTGGTGAAGTTAATTTGATTTTTCAGTTTCAACTGAGAAGGGTACCTACAAGTATCAGTATCATCTTATGAAATTTATATGATCTTATTTTTATATTAATCTCAGTTATGACATTTTTCCATAAATGAAATATCAAAATTAATAATAAAATGAATAGAAATACAAATAACACAGTAAAATGTAATAAATCTACATAAAAGGATAGTATTTTATGTACACTTCTGATAAAATTTCATAAGAAAGGTACCTATAAATTAATTAGATACCTTTTTTATGAAATTTAATCTCACTTTCAACAGTCTTATTTTAATTTCTTTATAATATTTTCCATAAAGCATCGCAAACGTAAAGGTGAAAGTACAAAAAAAAAAAAAAAAAAAAAAAATAGACTGCTGAAAGTTTTCCTTAAAAATAACAAGGTAAATAATTTGTTCACTTAAATGTAAATAATTCTACTTCTCTCCTTCTGTAGAAATTATCCTCACGTAATCTGTCAATACATCATTCAACACCTGTCAAGTGATGTGAAATGTTATGACCTGCATTGTTTTATTTTCAAACTACACCTTTTCAGAGCAGAAACTAAATAATGCTCGTTTCAAAATATTTTAAATAAACATTATAATTTCTGGTTTTGTTAAAATAAGTTTTGAAAAAAATTATAATTGATTTTTAAAAGAATTTCAAACTGAGATTTTCATTTTTTTTTTTATAAAAATGGAAAAAAATGGTTGACATGTTTATCTGTCAATTTTGCTGACTCAAAAAAAAAAAAAAAAAAAAAATTTTTAACAAAAATTTCGGACATGCTAGGGAGAATCAAAAAATGTAAAAAAATACCCCAAAAATCCTTTGATGTTTCCTCTTAATAATAACAAACATTTAAACGATAAAATTTTGTTTTCATCAAATTTGGCGTCTTTTTTATCATGCTATGCTCTTTTTTAGTGATCTCATGGAGGTACCTAGTTTAATAACATACACTTTCTCACTAAGTATTATAACGAAGCAATGACAGAAATCTATAGTGAAAACAACCCTTCAGTCACCCTTTGGTGACAAAAAAGAAAAAAAAAAAAAAAACCCCACAAATGGGAGCAAAGCGCAGAATATAAACAACTATAAATGTTGCATAGCACTCATAAATCATCACTAGCTTTCTACCGAGGTGATTTTTAAATATATATATATAAATAATATTTATTTATTTAAAATATGATTAATACAAAGACATAAAAGGTCTCATGTTTCAAAACAACCCATTCAAAAACTTATCAATATAATTATTTAAATTAAATTGAGTTTGAAGTGCTAAATTTTTGTTTTAAAGATGGAACAGAGGAAGTTTTAACTCAATTTAATTTAAATAATTATATTGAAGACTAGCCTTGTTTTGAAACATGAGACTTCTTATCTAATTTATTTTGGAATCATATTTTTAAATAAATAATTAATTATATTTATGCTCTACTTTTGTATCAAGCACTATTTTTTTAAAATAATAACTAAAATACTAAGGGACTTTGGATTATTTACCTAACCAGTTCCTTCCTATTTTCTATATATTATATATATATTTTAATTATATATATACATAAATGTCTGTTCTCATTGAGTTTACGTAACTCATTGCAGACTGAGAAACATCACCCCTCTTGCACAAAGAAATCTTGTGCCAAAACTTAGCTACAAAGGTGTGCAGTGCATTTGTCTTCATGGCCAGTGAAAGCAGTTATGATTGTTGAATAATTCAGTTGCATCTGAAGGCAGGACTAAAAGTGAATTTCCCAATACAATATCAAAGTCAAGTACCAGTACTTAATACCAAATACCAGTACATTCTTTCTTTCATACTAAGATGATGTGTTTCGTTCATTGGAAGTATCAGAATTTTCAGTGAGTCGGCTGTTGTTTTGGCAATATTTAACAATGGGCGAGTTAGTTTTTTTTTAACTTGTACCTTTGTGTTTGAATTTCCTTTTAAATTTGTTTTTCTAAAAGTAATAATTTTATATTCATCCAAATAGATAATACAAACAGATACATGCAATTCCAATAGGTGTGGATTATAAGAAATATACATATAAATTGTCGATGTTAAATAAATGAACAGAGTGAATAGAGTTTGTCTTTGATTGATTACATGTAGATATAATAGATAATATAGATACCTGAAATTCTAATATGTGCAGATCGTAAGAAATATATACATATATTGTCGATGCTAAATGAATGAACCTATTGAATAGAGTCTGTCTTTGATTACACATAGGTATAATGGATAATACAAATAGATACATGCAATTCCAATAGGTGTGGATTATAAGAAATATACATATAAATTGTCGATGTTAAATAAATGAACAGAGTGATGAATCTTTGATTGATACATGTAGATATAATGATAATATAGAACCTGAAATTCTAAATATTTAAAATATATACATATATTTTGTTATAAATGAATGAACCTATTGAATATAATCTGTCTTTGATTACAAACATAGGTATAATGGATAATACAAATAGATACATGCAATTCCAATAGGTGTGGATTATAAGAAATATTTATATAAATAGGATGTTATTAAATTTGAATAGAGTTTGTCTTTGATTGATTGCATGTAATATAATATAGATAATAGAAATTTAATATGTGCAGATCAAGAAATATATACATATATAGGTATAAAATGAACCTATTGAATAAGTCTGTCAAATTACATAGGTATAATGGATAAACAAATAGATACATTTCATATCAATAGGTGTGGATTATAAGAAATATACATATAAATTGCAAAATGTTAAATAAATTAACAGAGTTTGCTTTTTGATTTATCGATGTTAAATAAATGAACCTAGTGAATTAAGTTTGTTTTTTGATTTATTACACGTAGGTATAATGATTTGCAATCCAAAATGTGTTTCTTGCTGTGGGTTACAGTAAAAGAAAGTTTGAAAAATGCTGCTCTATTATTCTCAGCTTTGTTGTTACCACAACATTTCAGCTGTTGTGTTCATTTGAAGTCTCGGAATTTTCAGTGAGTTGGCTGTTACTTCAGCAAAATCTAAGAATGGGCTTATATTCATACAAATACATGCATGCAATTCCAATAGGCGTGGATTATACAAGTAGATGCATGCAATTCCAATAGGCGTGGATTATACAAGTAGATGCATGCAATTCCAATAGGCGTGGATTATACAAGTA